TGCAAAGCTGTCATTTAGAATTGATGGCCATATAAAGAGTTTCCCACACAAGGAAAAGAAAACCGGTGTGAGCCCTGATCAGTTTTGCTCAGTGGTTAGAGCATGGGCCTACAGACTGAAAGGTCACAAGTTCTATTCTCAGGCAAGGGCATGTACCTGGATTGCAGGTTCAATCCCTGACTTGGTCAGGATCATGCAGGAGGCAACCAATAGATGTGTCTCTCTCACATTGATGTCTGTCTCTCTCCCCCTTCCTTTCACTCTATCTAAAAAATCAATGGGAAAATATCATCGGGTGAAGACTAACAAAACAAAAAAGAAAAAAGGAGTGAGTCAGAGTAGACAGTTGGGGATAGTGTATGTATGAAGGGACTGGTAGCCTGATGAGGTAGGTGCCTGTGGGAGAGTGGTGAGTGATGTGGCTGGAGAATAGATAAGCAGGAACCAAAGCATGAAGGCTTCTGTTATACCATGCTTAGGTTTGGGACTGTCCTACAGGCCATAGTTAACTCACTGGAGGCTTTAAGCTTGGGAGTGGTATGATCTAATTTGATTTTTTTTTTCTAATTTGATTTTAGAAAGATTATTCTGGAACCTGTATGGAGAATAGAGCATAAGGGATTGAGGTTTGAGGTAGAAAACTATTGCAGCACTCTAATCAAGAAATGATTAATTTCTGAGCTAAGACAATAGCATTATAGATAAGATAAGGGAACATACCCAATAAACAGTTTAGGAAGTAAAATGGCACATGATAGGCACAGTGCCTATTAAACTGTGAACATTCTTGAACTGTTGAATCTAACCGGATGAAGACTTAGTTCATTTCTTCACTCCAACAAATATTTTTTAAATAATTTTTCTTCATTGATTCTAGAGAGAAAGGAAGGGAGAAGGAGAAAGACAGAGACATAGATGAGAGAGAACATCAACTGGCTGCCTCCTGCATGCCCCCCCTTCCCCATTGGGAATCGAGCCCACAACTTGGGCATGTGCCCTGACCGGGAATCGAACCGGCAACCTCTTGGTGCATGGGTCAATGCTCAATCACTGAGCTACACCAGCCAGGCCACTCCAGCAAATATTTAATGAGTGCCTACTATGTGTCAGGGATTGTGTTAGACACTGAGGACAAAACAAAGAACAATTTGGATAAGTTCCCTGCTTGGAAGATACAAACAAATAACCTGGCAATTATAATACTATATTATAATAGATGCTACAAGAGGGTAAGTTTATTTTTAATTTTTATTTTTTTGGTATGTGCTCCTAGCGGGACCCAAACCTGGGACTCTCTGATCTGCAAGCCGATGCTCCAACTGCTGAGCCAAACCAGCCAGGGCTGAGAGGGGAAGTTTAAAATGTTGTAAGAACATAGAAGGATTAACTTACACAAACTTGGGTTGGCAAAAAGTTCCTGAGGAAGTTATGTCTAAGCTGAAACAAGAACAATGAGTAGAAGTTAGACAAATGAAGAAATATGGGTGAGGTGGGAGAAAAAGAAGAAAGACTCTGGAATGAATTCTTGAGTGAGATGACTGTGGCCATGAAGACATAGAAGGTTAAGGTACTAGTGAGAAGATGAGTTCACTTATGCTGAGTTAGGTTTGAGATGCCTGTGGGACATCCAGATGGAGACAAAGGATATATGGGTTGGGAATTTACAAGAGAAGTCAGGAATGGAGATATATAGATTTGGGAGTCATCAGAATAATTCTTGAATCACTGGATAGTGTTGAAATTATCCAGGCTAAGTACATAGACAGAACATTGAAAGGGACCAAGGATGAATTCTTTTAAGAAGCCAGAAAAAGAAGAAAAGCCTTGGAAAGAGGCTGAAGGAATAACTAGACAAAAAGAAAAAAGTGTTGGAAGAAAATGAAACCAGAAGGAAGACAGAGCAAGGAGCCAGAGAAAGGCAGAAAGAACAGAGCAAGAGGTGACCAACTTAAGAACTGTTGCTGAGTTCTAGAATGGTAAGCATTAAAAAGTACTCATTGGATTAGGAAACATGTGGGTTGCTGGGGACTTGGCAAGAGCAATTTCATTGGAGAGGTTGGTGGCAGGAACCAGACTGGACAGTTCTAGGAGGTTATGGGGAATTCTGAGAAATATCCTGCCAATATTTAGCAGCATGATAAATGTCCATCATAGAGAAAATTGGTGAGCACATCACAGTCAGTCAAGATTTTCCACATGCCTCATGGATTCTCATATGGAAGATGTCTTTCACTGAGATAATAAATGACAATGAGGACTTATACAAGTGTCTTGGAGACAGAGATGAAAGTAACGAGCCTTTTCCTTATCATATTCTGCCTATTGAGGACCTTATTGGGTTTCTGGTTTTTAAAATTTTATATAAATTTTCTTTATATACCTTGGGGGAAAATGATTGCAAAGGGCAGGGACTGTCTACTTTTTCTGGGTGGGGTATCCTGATGAAAAAAAGGAGATAAATCCCCCAGAGGATAACTACACATTTTGTGTTCTTGGTGCCTCTAAATCAGATTTACCATTTATATCAAATAAGTTTTCACTGTAAATGTAAAATCATCATTATTAGAGTTAAGAGGGAGTGGCAGCTCCATATTCTACCCCTCAAAGTTATTAAATATAGCCAGAAATTTTATCTGAAAAACAGATATTCGTATTTACTCAATAGTTTTCCAGATCTCCAGTGTGGAGGAATTATGAAAGTTAGCAAAATGACATGTGTGAATTTTAGAACATGTAGCCTCATGTAATAGACACAAACTGACCTCAAGAGAAGCCATATAAATACATTGGTAGAGGGTATGGGTTGTGGAGTCAGAGAGATCTATATTCCGATCCCAAAATTCCATTTAGTTGATATATACCCTTGGTGGTGATTTCTTATTATCACTGAGTCTCAGCCTTCTCCTCATGTGTGAAATGGTGAGTAAATAAAATAATGCCTATAAAGCCCTTAGTATAATGCTTGGCATACATTATGCATTTCATAAATGTCAGTTATTACATTGCCCATGATTATAAAATTGTTCATTGCTGGAATCCAAATTTCACAAACATTGTTGTCTTTTATATAACATTAGCCACATGAACATAGTAGGGGCGGTATATTTTATTATACACTTTATGTGATTATATGTTAGTTTGGAAATACAGGCTTTCTTATTTTGTCATTGACTCATTCCTTTTAATGGAAGCATTACCTCAAACGTATTCATCAAATCAGTTCTCTCTTCAGATATCTGAGTTGTCTTTCACTTACAAATGACAGAAACCCAATTCAAAAAAAATTTGAGCAAAGGTTTATGTATTGGGATGTTAGGGGTTGAGCTGGGTTTGAGAATCAGAGAGCTACTAACAAACAGTCTAAGTATGACAGCCCTTATATTTTGAAGTGGAAGAGAGGACATAACTGAGCAGCAAACAGATGATCTGATACAATGGCAGAGCTCAGTCAAAGCAGGTTTGTTATGCTAAGGTCAGGGTCCTAGCTGGGAACAACTGAGATATGGGATAGGGGCATCTGGATAGATGCTGCTGAGGATTTTGGCTCTGAAGACCCCTCTGAATCCTCAGAGCTTGCAGAAGTGGCCTACTCTTCCATAATAAGAGCTAGCACTTCTGTATTGATAGACACTATAATATAAGTTGTAGAATCCCTCCTCCCACTAGGCAACAAGTGCCCCCACCAGGAGTCCTACCTCCTCTCCTGGCTGCTAGACCAATAGCTTATGGTCACATACCAACACAACCTGGCTGAGGAAAGCTGGACCTGATAAGGGAGGAAAGATGTTACATACTGAAAGAACTGCAAGAATTAGCTGGTATATACTAGCAGAAGCAAGGTGGTATACCTGGCATTGTATTTTGAAGGTGCTTTTTCAGATGGGCTAGAATAAAATAATGGATAAGCAAGAATTTATTGACTTATGGACAGCTTTGGGGAGACATAGGATTTAATATCAAGAACCTTAGGAAATGAGGTGGTTCTTCTAGAGTCTTTAAGAAAGTGATGGCCAATGTTGAGTGAAGTAGAAATGTTTTAGCAACCCTGGCAGATAGTAGAAGGAATAAAGAGGCTGAGGAAATGTGCAAGCAGGAATGACTATATTATATGAGGCCACAAAACATACACCAAAGCTATTAGATGAGTGTGATGTCTCTAGGTAAAAAATAGCAACACCATGGCAAGCAAATACTGTGATGATTCCCCTAGTTCTTCTCTCTCTCTTTTTTTAAATTTATTTTTTTAGAGAGAGAGAGGAAGGGAGCGAGAGATGGAAACATCAATGTGAGAGAGAAACGTCAGTCGGCTGCCTCCTGCACGCCCCCTACTGGGGATTGAGCTCGCAGCGCAACCAGGGCATGTGCCCTAACCAGGAATAGAACCAGGAGCTCTCAGTCCATGGGACAATGCTCAACCCACTTAGCCACACCAGTCTGGCCCCTAGCTCTCTTTTCTTTTCTTTTCTTTTCTTTTCTCTTCTCTTCTCTTCTCTTCTCTTCTCTTCTCTTCTCTTCTTTTCTTTTCTTTTCTTCTCTTCTCTTCTCTTCTCTTCTTTCTTTCTTTCTTTCTTTCTTTCTTTCTAAAGCCAGTTATTTAAAAAAAAACTGGTTTGTCAAATCACATACATGAGCAGATGCACAACTACCAAAGTGGCCCTGTAATAGACACCAGTAGGGCGTTCACCACACAGTACCTGAAAAATACAGCTAAAAAAGAGGAGTCTGTTGAGTAATTCAGATTCCTACGTGACTCCTTGTTGAATGGCTTTAAGTTAGCATACAGTGAGTGAGAGGTAGAGTCCCAAGTATAATAGCTCACGCCTCAGGGCTCCATTTAAAAACAAAACAAAAACAAAAACCATTTTCCCCCTCTGCACAAGGGAAACCTATCCTATTTTTTTTCCTTTGTGAAAACAGAAGCCAAGTTTCTCTTCTTGAATGGTTCAGCATTTTCAATTGGGGTGTCGCGTGGTGACCTCGGCGTTGTGCTTTTCCCCCGTCTAACTGTCCTCACCTTCCAATTCCAATTCTTCTGCATTTTGCAACCACTCCACAAATTTCTTCATCTGGTCAAGAAAAACACTCTTGCCTTTGGCCACGTGTGCTTCTTTGTACCACTTCAATATCGCTTCTTCACTCAGCACATCAGCTTTATAAAAGAGAACCATGATCTTCTGAAACGCTTTCATGAAGTGGGTGTTGTCGTAACAGTACTCCTGAACCTTCTGCAGGAGGATCAGCTCGGACTGGCCTTGGGAGCTGAACACAGCCAGCAGGGGCGCGTATTGCTTCAGGTGCTTAAGGGCCTGCTCTGCCACAAGTTCCTCCTTCTTGTTCCATTCAACAGCATTCATGATACAGGTCCACAGAAGTCCAATCACCGCCGTTTCCGGAAGATCATTCCTCTTCATTTCTTCTTTCACGTAGAGCACCACCTCCTTGATGGGGCATTCCTGGGACAGGCGCTCCTGGAGCTCCTTCCTGGTGCCCAGGGACTGCTGCACTCTCAGGAAGTCGGAAAGCTCCTTCAGTCCCACGTCAGTGAAGTACTTAGCGAAGTGATCCACACTCTGTCTGTTAACTGGAAAGAGTTCAAGCAGCCTCTTGTCTAAGTTGGCTTTTCTCAAAGAAGAGGTAACAGAGTTGGCATCTTTTTCCGCCATCCAGGCTTTAAAAAGCTTGACAGCAAATGAGGCCACAATACCTTCTTTGACTAAGCTGTCAGTGAAGAGACTGGTGAGGATGGTGGCTGGGAGGGTGCCATTGCCTAGCAGGATCCCCGACAGCATTGCCAACTTTGTCTGCTCTGTTTCGGTAAAGGCTTTAAGGAAGAGGAGAAGCTTTTTCATTGCATCCTCAAAAGCCTTTTCCAAATACTTATATCTCCTGATGAGTTTATTGAAGACCTGAGCATGGTTTCGGATGGTTTCATGATCTTCTTTTGCTGAAAACACACAGTGGTTGGTCATCTTGGTTTTGTCACCATCATCTATGCGTGTCCCTCCAGGGGCAAGCATACTGCCAGCTACCAGGATATCAAAGAGTGTGTCTGCATAGCAACGATAATCTAATCTCGAGCCTGTAGAGTCCAGAAACTTGGCTACAGCTTCAAGGTCGTCACCAGCTTCATTAAGCCCCTGGACAAGTGTATCCCTGAAGACTGTGGGTTTGAATTTCTCTTTTTCATCCCTTTTCCGAGTTTTGAACTGCTGGCCTGTTAGCACTGGCTTCTGATGCTTATTCATAAAATTTCTGTCCAAGAAGGTAGCGACGACGCACGAGGCTGGGAGTTCTGCAAGCCCCAGGCAGCCATCGTCAGACGAAGAACTGACAAGTGGATGATTTAAATATCGCGTGTTCTCAAAGATCTTAATTGGACAGGAGGAGAGTGGGAAACGTCTAAGAGGAACTCCCTAGTTCTTTTCTCAAAGGGACCTGTAGAAGTTTACTTAGGTGATTGTATACTGGGGAAAGGAAAATACTCAGTTGTTTTGAAGACTATTAGACACAGTCTGAGCTGACAATGATATCTGGAGTCTCAAAGCATCATCGTAGTTCTGATAGAGTCGGGGCCTACAGGGACCAAGTAATAAATGAAGTCTTGCTAAAATCTAGCTCAGAGTGGACCTGCTGTGTTTGTGGATATGCTCAGTGGTCATTTGCTCTGTTCCTGACTGCACTGATATAATTGGATGTTAGAGTAACCCTCACGTTTGGTTCTTAGTCTGTGGGGTAAAGAATATAGTGAAGAAGGCCTAGTAGAAACCTTTAAAACTGTTCCATCACCTTCCTTTCTTTCCCAACCAAGATAGTAAGTCGAAAAGAATATCACACCTCTAGAGCATGACTGAAGATGATTGTTGGCTTAAATAAGCAATAGCCTTCATCATAGTCACTGTGCCAGATATGGTCTAATTGTTAGAGCAGATTAATAAGTTTTCAGGTACATGGTATATGGCTCTTGATCTTACAAAAGCATTATTTTATTTTTTGGCAGTTACTTTTCTTTCTAGTAAAGATCCTTTTATTTCAGCCCCACCGCTGCCACCTGGCTGGTCTCCAGACTTGCGCAGACTCACCCGGGACATCTCCGGAGGACTGGGGAGCAGGAGGTAATTTGGAGGGGATGCTGGTGAATAGAATGTACCATCACAGTCTGACATGCCCTTTAACCATGGCTTTGTCCATTTTACAGCAGTCAAGGATAATACATAGGCTATGTAAGGTTAGAAGTGGTGTGTGAGTGGGCCAATGCGGGGGTGGGGGCCCAGACAAGGCAGGAGGCACCTGTGTGGGAGCATGAACCTTAAGTGTCCTCATGTTCTTTTCAATTACAATTAGGAAAGATCAGGAACAGTTTGTATTCACATGGGATGGCCAATAATATTCATTTATAGTTTGGCTTCAGGGCTATGTCAACTTTCCTGCCCACTGTCATAATATAGTGTGATGAGATCTGGACTGCCTGGGCATCCCACAGAACCATCACACTGATCCATTTCATTGATAGCATGCTGATGTGCTCCAGAGGGTGTAAGGTAAACCCCACAAAGATCCAGGAACCTGCCATTTCAGAGAAGTTTTTAGGAGTCCAATGCTCAAGAGTATATTGGGATAGTTTTCCAAAGCAAAACTATTCATCCTTTACCACAAAGATGGAAGCACAATGTCAGTAGTTTTATTTGGGTTCTGGAAGCAATATATTCACCTAGAATCATTACTCTGGCTCATATACCAGGTGACATGGAAGGAGATGCTAGCTTTGAATGAGACCTGGAAAAGAAAAGGGCTTGCTCTGACAATAGGATCTGGAGGACCCTATAGTGTTGAAAGTGTTAATGGTAGGAAAAGATACAGTATGGTGCTTATGCTAAGCTCTGATGGGGGAATCACCATGCAGGCACTTGGAATTCTGGTTACCACTGCCCCTGAATAAAGACCATGCTAAGCCCTTGATGGGGCTCCTTTTCATTGAGGAGACCAACCAGCTACTTGGTGGCAAGGCAACTACATTGGGCCTCTCCCACAATGGAAGGGCTAGTGGTTCATCCTCACAGGAATAGATGACTTATTTTGGGCATGGGTTTGCATTTTCTATCCATAGTACCTCAGCCAGGATCACTGTTTATTAGGGCCTTGTGGAATGCCTGATCTATAAGGGGGGATTCTCACACATCATAACGTCAAAACATGGGACCCAGTTTACAGAGAAGGATGTGTGAAGTGGGCTCATGATCATAGGTCCACTGGTCATACCACATACTGCACCATCCAGGGGCAGCTGGCTTCAGAAAATGTTGGAACAGCCTGTTTTGTTGTTGTTGTTAATCCTCACCTGAAGATATTTTTTCATTGATTTTTAGATAGAATGGAAGGGAGAAAGGGAGGGAGAGAGAAAGAGAAACATTGTTATGGGAGAGACACGTTGATTGATTGCCTCCCGCACAAATCCAACTAGGGCCTGGGGATCGAACCTGCAACGCAGGTACATGCCCTTGACCAGGAATTGAACCCACAACCCTTTGGTCCACAGGCTGAGCCAAACCAGCCAGGGTTGGAACAGCCTTTTAAAGAAACAAGTAAAGTGCCAGTTTGGTGACAACACTGTGAAAGGATGGGGCACCATACTTCAGGATGCAGTACACGGGGTGGGCAAAAGTAGGCTTACAGTTGTGAATACACAAAACAGAGTTTATTCTTATATTATTATTTAATAATTATTGTATTATTTTTATTTATTTATTTATTGTTTGTTTGTTTGTTAATTCTCACCTGAGGATTTTTTTTTCATTGATTTTTCAGAGAGAGTGAAAGGAAGGGAGGGAGCGGGGGAGAGAGAGAGATATTGGTTGCCTCCATATGTGCCCCAACCAAGGCTGGCAATGGAACCTGCAACCCAGGTATGTACTCTTGACTTGGAATTGAGCCCACAACCCTTTGGTGCAACGGCCAGCACTCTAACCACTGAGCAACACCAGCCAGGGCTGTTGTATTATTTTCCATTCAAACAAGTATAAACTTACTTTTTCCCATCCTGTGTATAGAGAGAACTTTATATGGCGCTAGATCCCTAATGGGAAGAATACATGGATCTGAGAGCCAAGGGAATACAAGCAGGGGTAACCCCACTTACTATTACTTAGAATAACCCAATGGGGGATTTTGTTTTCCTGTCTCTGCAACACTAAGTTTTGCAGAGTTGGAGGTCCTGATCCCCAAAGAAGGTGTATTCTTGCCAGGGGACATAGCAATGATCCCACTGAACTATAAGCTATGGCTGCCACCAGGACATTTTGTACTCCTCGTGTCCAGGGACCAGCCTAGAGAAGAGGATTCACCATATTGACAAAGGTAATTGACTTCAATCAGCAGGAGAAGATAAAGCTACTTTTATACAAGGGGACAGGGAAGGAAGGAAATAGGTATGGAATCTTTGTGATGCAGTAGCGCATCTCCTGGTATTTCCTTCCCCCCTTGAACGGACACATGCAGAACTCCAGCCTGAGGAAGATGGAATTACCCACAGTATGATTACCAGACTCTTCAGGAATGTAGACTCGGGTCACACTACCAGGTAAGCCACCAAGACCAGCCAAGGAGATAAATGACAGTGAGGGGAATTTAGAATGGAGAAGGCAGAGTATGAGTACAAGTTGTAGGCCTGAGATTAACAGCAGTCATGAGGGCTGTAGTTCATTCCACTAAACTGGCTCTTCTCCAGGAGGAGAGGGCCCTGGGAACCTCCAAACCCCTTTAGAGAAGGTGTGTGTGACTATAAGAATGTGCATCTCAGATCTCCTACTGTAGGGAGCAAAATTGACTGATACCCCCAGCTCCTGTATTCTAAATACACTACATTTGCTCCAAGACCATATTTCCCGTGGTCTGTTTCCAGCCAATGACTGTACACAATGGGATGTTATGGCAGGGCCATTCCTGTGAGACAGAGGACTCCTCTGACTGCTGTTTTTGAATTGAGGATTCTACATTGGCTTTGCAGAAACTTTTTGAAAGCTTCTTGGTAGTCTAAGGCTCTTCTCATTCTACCTTCCTTCTTTCCCTCTCTCCTTCCCATGGGTCAGATGTGCATCACTGTCTGACAGATCTCAGTCTTCTCCAGCTACCTCTTCATTTTCTTTCACAGGCATCTCCTCCAATTTCTTGCAATCTAATCTGATCTTGCTGTCTACTTCATAGAGGACCTGAACTAACATAGGTAGGTATAAATGCACCCATTTTATATATGAGGAAACTGTGTTTCAGAGAGTTTAATTAACCTGCACAAGGGCACAAAATTATACAGGCAGTAAGTGGCAGAGGCAGGATTTAAATCCAGGATTACCTGGTTTCAAAGTCTGTGTGCCTGGATTTCATATTCCTGTTTTCCTGTTTCTGCAGTTTCTATTTGCTTCATTCTCCTCTCAGTCTCCTGGAACGGCTTCTGACTTTCTAGTCTTGTTTCTACCCTGCAAAAACAGGAGGAATATTTGACTATACTTGTAACATAAAGTAAAAGGAAGAACATTGTATTCCTGGGGTCTGTAACAGTTCTTGAGGTAAGGGTTCCCCTGGGAAAGGAGAAACTCAGGGGATAGTGTTGGGACAGCTTTGCTAAGCTTCCCCTTCCTGCCTCAGGAGTCTTCCTGGAGAGTTCAACCATGAAAGTTCAGAGTTTTGTTTTATAAGAGAAATCATATGCCATTATATCCATTATCTTACTAGAACATATTCCTCCTTCATACAAAAGCTTCCTTGATTTTGTAAGGTTTCCTTCTCTTCTTCTTTTTTTTAAATCCTCACCCAATGATATGTTTTTATTGATTTTTAGAGAGAGAAGAAGGGAGAGAGAGAGAAACATCTATGTGAGAGAGAAACTGATCGGTTACCTCTTGTACACACCTGAACTGGGAATCAAACTCACAACCTTTTGGTATACAGGACGATGCTCCAACTAACTGAGCCACACATTCAAGGTAGTTTTCTTCATAATTAAGTAAAACAAAATTTCTAAGGTTGACACTGGAATGAAAATCAAGGGCTGTCTGGGCTTTGTAATGCAGGCACTGCACCTTTTCCTGATTACAGTTTCCCTCACCACACTGGCTTCAAAGAGACAATGCTCTTTGTAACATTCTGATTCTCATATGGACACAGGGATTTTATGAGATTTTCTAGAAAAAGCTGAAATATCTGCCCTGGCCGGTTTTGCTCAGTGGTTAGAGCATTGGTCCTTGAGCTGGAGAGTCCTGGGTTCAGTTT